GCTAGAATAAATCTGTAAAATATTGGAGAGAGGAAAATATTGGGTATTGGGTACACATCCAAAGTATGTAATTAAAATCATCTAAGCTGTGTTTTGTATTTCATAAAGGGTAGAGATAAAACTCTTGCTTCTTCAAAGTCACAGAGCTTCTTGGATTTTGATGACTATTTATTTCCTTAGCATTTGCTATGTGAGGTGGAAATGGAAGAACAAATCTATTCTGTGGCACCCTATGGTGGCCGATATTGTGTGCTCATTTTCAAGACTAGAAATGCTCCTTTGCTTTTAATTGTGAGGTGCACATAGCCCTTTCTGAATCACTATTTCACAGAATTGCAAGAGTAAGTCAAGGCAGCTTTCCATGGCTGTGCAATTTCTGAGAGTTGAAACACATGTGTAAATGAAGAAATCCTTCACCTTAAATATCTGTTAGCAGTGTTATAAAATTCACATGTATTGGGCAACATAGTTTTCCAGAAGGCTTTATTTAGTGAGGAATGATGAGGAATGAGGCAGGAGTGCATGTAGCCCAATCAGTGCTTATGCAATGGGAGAAGAGGGAAGTTGATAGAAGTGGCTGTAGAAAGAGAGTCCAGAGAATGTAGGCCAAAGGTCGGTGCTTTGGAAGACAGGTCTCCAAAAAGAGTGACGAGTGAAGAGATTCATTCATTCATAGTTTATGTGTGACCCAGAGTACAAGACTGACGTATATGTGACCAGAGATGGTTTGCAAGGTTCCTGCGTGGAGCTTTCTGCAAAAATTGGCAGAACAATAACCCCTACCTAATTCTAAACATAACCCTAAACCCTAACTGTAATCCCTGGCATCTAACCCTAAGCCTAACCCAACCTTAACCTTTAGCCTAACCTAACYDTAAGCYTAAGACTAAGCCTAACTCTGAWCCTTACTGTAACTCTAGTTGCTAACACTAAYCTGATGCATAAACCCTAACCTASAMCCTAACCCTAAATGTATAACCSTCAGCCTWAATTAACYCTAACCCTAAAYRCATGTCTAATCCTACCCTTYTCCAATWTTATGTCTAACCCTAAATGTCATGTCTTAACACCAACCCAAACCATGTCCTAATGGGAAACCTTATTCCTTAACCCTAATGCAACAGCTACCTGCTAATCCCAGCCCAAATCCTATACTTAACCCTAACCTCACCTTAACACTAACAGCACCCATAATCCTAAATGGCATGTCTGACTCAAACATTTAGAATTAGGGATRCATKTKAAACCCTAATGCTCTTCATAACCAACATTAACCATAACAAATCCTAAACTTTACCCCAAACCCTAACCCTATAGCTAGTCCTGACTCGAACCCTAACTCAACCCAAACCCAGCTTAAATGGTGTGTCTATAGCTAACCCTAACACAAACACCAAACTCTAAATATAATTCAAACCCAAACCCTAAATGTCTAATCCTATCACAAACAGGAAACACTAAAACCTAACCCTTAACCAAAACACTGACCCTAACCTTACTGTAGCCCTAAGTGGCATGCCTAACCCCAACAGTATCCCTAGAGCCAAGCCCTAACCTTAATCGATAACACTAATCCCAACCTGAAATATCTAGCCCTAACCCTCATTCCTAATGCTAACCCTGAATGCCCAACGTGAACACTAAACACGGACTCTAACCAAAAGCCATCCCTAACCCTAAATGTAGCCATAAATATTGTGTCTAACCCCTTCTGCAACACTTTCTCCAACTCTAATCCCTAACTCTGTTCCAAACCCTAACCAGCCCTAGCCCTAAATGGCTAACCCTCAATGGCATGGATAACTCTAACCCTGTCCTTAACCATACCACTAGCCCTATCTCTACCTTTTAACCCTAACACCTTGAACTAACCCTAATCCAAGCCCTAGCCTTTAATGGTGAGTATAACCTTAACCTTATCCATACCATAAACCTATCCCTATTTCTTAACACCAATCCTTAACTCTGTAACTAGCCCTAAACTCTGACCCTAATCAAACTCTAATCCTTTACCCTATTCAAAAACCCTTCAAAACCCTAAGGCGTAATGTCTAAACTTCCAAACCCTAACAATACACCTAATCCCAACCTACTGTAACCGCAAATATGTTACGCTAACCATTACCAACCCTAAGCGTAACATTCACCCTATACCAAACTCTCATCTGAACCTAACCCTAAATGTTACGTTTAATGCTAAACTCATCCTCTGCCCTAAACCTAGTCTCTATCTCTAGCCCTGACCCTACATGTCTTGACCATAATCTAACCCTTTCCCTAAAAGGCATGATGAAATCACGATAAGCATTTTTTTTTCTTCTTCGTTCTGGAGGAAAGACTATGATCTATATGCTAGACTAAAACTAGAATGCAGAAACATATTAATACTATACATCATGGATATGCATTAATTTTACAATTCTAATTTGTTTGTTGCATTTCGTTAAGGGCAGAGGTAAAATTCTTTCTTCTGCAAACCCACAGTCCTGCTTGGATTCTGATGACTGTGTTTTTCTGAGAATTTGCCATGTGAGCTGGAAGAGGGGACATTTCTAACTTGCAGAGATAGTCATCCTCTGAGGAAATAGACTGCAATTTTGGAATCCATCTTTCTCTACTCATTAGGACAGGACCACAGGTGTGATTCTTTTAGTTTCCTTAATGCCCATATCCCAGGTGGAGGGAACACAAGGGACAGGGCAATTGGTGAGTTCAGCTGGGCCTCTGCTCCTGAGTGGGGCCAGGCTACTGGGATAGAGGAAGCTCGTGGCAACCTGTGAGCCCTGCCCAGAGACACTGTGTGCAGGAGCAGCTGCTGTGCCAAGAGCAGCAGGGCTGCGGGCACTGCCTGCTGCTGYRCACAGCAGAGGAGMGAAGGCARCGAGAGGTGAAGGGCAGTGTGGAGYGGGAGCACAGAGAGCTTGTGGTGGGAGGAATCTTGCCACCCTCGGTAAGGTGAGTCTCTGGCTGCAGGRCCTGGYTACTGMCTTTGCTGGAAGGTGTGCTCAACCCAGCCATGGCTTGGGGAGATTTATTCCTTTTTTAAGCCTCATTATCCTGACTCGAGCAGTGCAGAGGAGGAGATGCTTCAGAGCAGGGATTCCTAACAGACTGTCACAGGGACAGGGCATCCTCCTAGCTTCACCCATGGMAGCTGCAGGGATGTGAAGCTCGTWTGTGCACAGTATGAGCTCTAATCCAGAGCYGTGTCCCTGCACCCAATGGTGCTGTGTGCCCGGGGCAGTGACTGTGCCGCCTGTGCGGGTCAGCACTCAGCCTGTGMRGGAGCTCCCAGGACASTGTGGGGAGAAGCTCTGGGTGAGAGGGTCGASSCCTGKCMGGGCAGGTTCCTGTTGTTGCTGAGAGGCTSCTGCGTGGGTCAGGGCTGCCCACAGCTCTAGCTCAGCAGGAGGGCCATTTGGGAGTGGAGATTTCCAGTCCTGTAGTCTTGTGTTTGCATGGTGGGGATAGAAATGCAGCAGAGAGGTTTAATAAAAGGGGCACATCATCTTTGTCAACACCATGAAGGTTGGAGAGGTTTGCCAGGAACCTCATCAAGTGCCTTCAGCAACTCTCAGCCTGTAGACAGTACGAACACCCCCTTGCCACTCTTACCAGAGACTCTCTGATGTGCTCGATAGCACCTGCAAACAGGGAGATGTCCCCAGGTGCTTCCTGCCCCTGCCTTTTGCTGTTTTCTCTATGCCTGAGCTGAATGCACARCAAGGGGTCAAGGATCTGTGGTGGGGACAGTGAARGAGCCCTGCTTAAGGACATCTCCAAGCAGCAGAGATGTTATCTTAGGCAAGAGGAACCTGCTGCCCAAACCTTATGCAAGATTGCGGTGCAGGAAGTTTTTTGCCTGCCCCTGCAGAGCAGACACTTTCYCCTCCACAAGSRYCCTTCACCCTTCCTCTGGCATCCAGCAGAGCCKCTGCCTCCAGGCCAYGGGATGGAGGACACAAGGTCCCTTTCTGGCAGCCAGAGCCCCAAAACAGGAGAGCAGCAGCTCTCCTGCCAGCTGTCCATTTCCTACACCAAGGCAAAGGGCCTGAAAATGAAGATGCTGCTGGGGGTGGCTGTATGTGAACAGCTGGGCTAAACACTGTGTGKCTTTGTGTAGAAGCTGAGTCCTGARTTMTCTGTCCCTACCAGAACCAYGATACTGGGTCCTTGTTCTGATCATCGGGAGCCACGGGCCGTGTTGTACTCTCTGCATCAYTCTTGGGAGATCAGAGCTGAGAAAGAGAGGTGAGTTTGGAGAGCGGTGTGTTGCAATTGGTACCAAAGTCAGCACAGGCTAAGTGTGCTCCAGGGTGTGTCCTACCTGGAGAGATGCCCACCCACAGCATCTGGGAATGGGATCACTGTGAAATCATTGTGCTGTCCAATGTGATAGAACACCAGGAAAGGTGTCCTAAGGACTGAATAATCTTCACATGGAGAGCAGTGAAAAGAGTGCCTGGAGAGCAGACAAAAAAAACCCCCAAACTTTCTCCCCAAAGAGAAGTAGTTTCTTTTGTGGTCAAAATGCCTCATGATTGTGAAAACTCTGAATTGCCATTAAATATTACAGCAGGACTGACTTCTCTGGAGCCCATGGGCAGAGGTCCCAGCTGTTCATGGTTCAGTCAGAGAGTATGACCTGGAATTGCAAACATGGAGCTGAACTAAGATCTTGCCAAGAAGGAATGTGTGTGTGCGTCTCCATGTGTGTCCACATAGGCAGAAGAAGGTGGGAGAAAGGGAAAGAGCTTTGATAGGAAATGTCTTTCCTGATTTGTCACTGTCTTTTCCTCTTTGCACAGCCCCAAATGCCTGCAGAGAGTAAAACGTCCAACAGCAGCTCCTTCAATGAGTTCCTGCTCATGGCATTCGCAGAGAGGCACGAGCTGCTGCTCTTGCACTTCTCCTTCTTCCTGGGCATCTACCTGGCTGCCCTCATAGGCAACGGCCTCATCATCACAGCCATAGCCTGTGATGACCACCTCCACACCCCTATGTACTTCTTCCTCCTCAACCTCTCCCTCCTCGACCTTGGATCCATCTCCACCACTGTCCCCAAATCCATGGCCAACTCCCTCTGGRACAMCAGGGCAATTTCCTTCTCGTCATGTGCTGCCCAGGTCTTCCTCTTTGTCTTCTTCTTAGTAGGGGAGATTTCTCTCCTCACAGTCATGGCCTATGACCGCTTTGTGGCCATCTGCAGACCCCTGCACTATGGGAGCCTCCTGGACAACAGAGCTTGTGTCCACATGGCAGCAGCTGCCTGGGCCAGTGGCTTCCTCTATGCTGTCCTGCAGACTGGGAACACATTTTCCATTCCTTTCTGCCTAGGCAATGAGGTGGATCAGTTCTTCTGTGAGATCCCCCAGATCCTCAAGCTCTCCTGCTCACACTCCTACCTTAGAGAAGTCAGGGTTACTGTAATTGCTGCCTGTATGGCCTTTGGTTSTTTCATTTTCATTGTGGTGTCCTACGTGCAGATCTTCAGAGCTGTGCTGAGGATGCCCTCAGAGCAGGGCCGCCACAAAGCCTTTTCCATGTGCCTCCCGCATCTGGCCGTGGTCTCCCTCTTTGTCAGCACCGACATATTTGCCTACCTGAAGCCCCCGTCTATCTCCTCCCCAGTTCTAGATCTAGTGGTGACTGTTTTGTATTCAGTGGTGCCTCCAACACTGAACCCCCTCATCTACAGCATGAGGAATAAGGAGCTCAAGATTGCCCTGAGGAAACTGTTTTCTTGGACATTTTTCAGTCATGGTAACATTTCTATTTCTCTCCACAAATGACTCCTTCTGCATACATTAATGAGACTGACTGAGCTTTTTCCTTCATGATATTTTTATTACGACTTTTATTAGTAGTAAAAAATATTATCATGTTGCTCCACAAGTACTTGCATTCATTCCACTTTTCCCGACACTGCTCTTTCTTATCTCATCCCTTTAACTGTATCTAATGCTGTATGAAGATTGGCCCCCTCACTATATCTGTGTAATAAGGTAATTTCCACACACTGGAGCTTTTCTTCCAAAGCTGGTGTCAAGAACGTGCCTAAGAAATTGCACCTCAGAAGGGCCTGCTGAAAAGGCTCTTCCATGAGTTCCAGAGGAAAACRCWCATAATAAGGTAGTGCTCTCTTTAGAGACCAAGAGTTGCATTTGAGATTTCTCCACAGTTGTTTGGCCTTGTCTAACCCTGAGGCCTTCCATCACTATGTCAATCAGTACCAGAGTGCTCTTCTCACTAATAAGAGGGGATTTTCTCTGTGCAGTGCTTGTGGCTTGAGCTCTTCTTCCAAAGCTCGAGCCAATAATTTCCTTAAGGACTTTCATCCTGAAAGGGTCTGTTACTCTCCTGGGATCTTCATGGGCTGAAGGCAATGAGCTCGGGGTGTGAATCGTTTGTGAATGAGAGTTGGATTCATCTCTCACTTAGGGGTCCTCAGTGCTTGTGATCATAGTGAATGATCAAGCAGTATCTTCCTGGGGCTCCGTTATGACAGGGCTGGTAGCAGATGGCCACAGTGGGGCCCTTGCAGGCAAAGGGAGGGAGCTGCAAGAGCAGTTCATGACACCTTACAGGTCAAACCCTGCTCTGGATCTAGGGACACATTTGACCACAGCCTGCGGCATTTGAAAGGCCCATGATGACTCAGAGGGTAGGGACATCAAGGTAGTGGTGGCTGCAGCTCATGCACTAGGAGGCCAGTGTCCTGTCTTTCAGCAGCTGCAGGGACAGCCCTAGTACAAGTCTTGGCATCTCCAGATCTTTCCCCTACCCTAAGACAAACATCCCCCTGTCCAGAACAGGTGCAGGCAACAGTGCGCACACATTCCCTGCCACAACAGTCCCAGGCACAATAGGGGCAGGGGCTGGAACAGCTGTGTTGTCACTGCTGGGAAGAGTTTGACACCGAAGATAGAATGGGTGACACCACGAAGCCTGGGACAAGTACTAACAATGGAGGTGCTGTGCCTCATGGGACAGGGGTTTGGGACAGCTGGGATGGGCAGCTGGCACTGCCAATACAGGAGCTGGCATCTTTGGGACAGGGGCTGGTACTGTGAGGAAAGGGACAAGCTCCAGGACAGGGTCTGGCRCCCCCAGGACAGGAGCYGGCATCTCTGGGACAGRGAATCATAGAATCATAGAATGCTTAAGTTTGGAAGGGACCTCAGAGGTCATCTAGTCCAACCCCCTGCTCACGCAGGGTCACCTAGAGCACATGGCACAGGGCTGCATCCAAGCGGGTTTTAAAGATCTCCAGAGAAGGAGACTCCCCAACCTCTCTGGGCAGCCTGTGCCAGGGCTCTGTCACCCTCACTGCCAAGAAATGTTTTCTTAAGTTCCTGCGGACCTTTTGGTGCCTCAGACTGTGGTAGTTTCCTATTGCTGGCCACCACTGAAAAGAGGCCAGCCCCCTCCTCCTCCCTCCCTCCCTTGAGGTATTTATACACRCTGATCAGGTCCCCCCTCAGCCTTSTCTTCTCCAGGATGAACAGACCCAGCTCTCTCAGTCTTTGTTCATAGGGCAGATGTTCCAGGCCCCTGATCATCCTCGTAGCCCTGCGCTGGACTCTCTCCAGCAGCTCCACATTCCTCTTGTACTGGGGTGCCCAAAACTGGACAGAGTCTCCAGATGTGGCCTCACCAGGGCTGTGTTTAGGGGGATGATCACCTCCCTCGACCTGCTGGAGATGCTCTTCTTAATTCACCCCAGGATCGCATTGGCCTTCTTGGCCACCAGGGCACACTGCTGCCTCATGGTCATCTTGTCATCCACCATGACACCCAGGTCCCTCTCTGTGGGGCTGCTCTCCAGCAGGTCCATCCCTAATCTGTCCTGGTGTCCAGGKTTATTCCTCCCCAAGTGCAGGACCCTGCACTTGCCCCTGTTGAACCTCATGAGGTTTCTCGCCGCCCAGTCCTGCAGTCTGTCCAGGTCCCTCTGGATGGCAGCACAGCCCTCAGGGCTATCAGCTACTCCTCTCAGTTTGGTATCATCAGCAAACTTGCTGAGGGAGCACTCCAGCCCTTCATCCAGGTCGTTAATGAATAAGTTGAACAGGACCGGACGGAGGACTGATCCCTGGGGGACACCGCTAACTACAGGCCTCCAGCTGGACTCCGCACCATTGACAACCACTCTGCACCCTGCCATCGAGCCAATTCCTAATCCACCTCCCTGTCCACTCATCTATCCCACACCTTTGGAGCTTGCCCAGGAGGATGCTGTGAGGGACAGTGTCAAAAGCCTTGCTCAAGYCCAGRTAGATGACATCCACTGCTCTGCCCTCATCTATCCAGCTAGTCACTCCATCATAGGAGGCGATCAGGTTAGTCAAGCATGATTTCCCCTTGGTGAATCCATGBTGGCTACTCCTGAGCACCTTCTTCTCCTCCACGTGTGTGGTGACAGCAGCCAGGATGAGCTGTTCCATCACTTTTCCGGGGATGGATGTGAGGCTCACTGGCCTGTAGTTGCCTGGGTCCTCCTTCTTGCCTTTTTGAAGACCGGAGTGATGTTGGCTTTCTTCCAGTCCTCTGGCACCTCCCTCATTCTCCAAGACCTTCTGAAGATGATGGCAAGCAGCTTAGCTATGACATCTGCCAGTTCCCGCAACACTCTGGGGTGCATCCCGTCAGGGCCCATGGATTTGTGGGTGTTGAATTTCCTTACGTGTTCTCAGACCAATCTTCCTCTACCCAGGGCAAAAGAGTTATCTAAGGGTTATCTAAGAGAGGTGGACATGTCCTGCTCTGCAACACCCTGCTCCCATCTCATAAGCACATGGAACACATGCACCCCAAGAACAGTGCGACTTCATTTCCTCAGGTGTCAGGGCCTCATTGGGAGGACTACAGCASCACATCTAATGCCAGCACACTGCACAGCCTCACAAGAGGATTCCCTTCGCCCAGTGTCTGGGGAACACAGAAAAGCTCTGCATGGGAGCTCCTGTCCAAGCTCCCACTGTAGTCAGCGGGGATGGGAGCAAGTGGTCAGCTGTACACGCACACTCATCCCTTTGGACTTAAGAAGGGGCCGTGGTGCTCCATGACTTGTGCCAGTGTCTGCTTTCTCTGGCAGGGCAATGAGGAGACCCAAGTCCATCTAGAGCTTCGGCCAGGTGGCGAATCTTCTGGGCCATCTGACATCTCACTGCCTATTACCAGCTGCAGCTTCACTCGCTCAGACCTCTGCAGATCCTGGCATTGCAAAAACCTTGCATAATTCACTGCAGATACTTGATTTCATGCAGTGACAATAGGCCTACTTGGCCATGCCACATGCACGGGTGTCCAGCATAACSATCATGTTTCTAGCATATTCGAGGCCAGCATCATCCCTTGACTTTGTGCTGAAAGGAAGAGCCCTTGTGGACRGAGAGACATCGGGGCAAGGAAGGCGATCCCACGCGAGAGCCAAGTGAGGGGGCACGCTGGGCGTTTACAGACTGCACAGA